TGCTTCCCTCTACAGCGTCACTGGGCAAATACTTATCAGAAGGAAAAATGTTTCGAACTAAAACTGCATAAAAAAATAAAACAATTTATGCCCAGTATACTTTTTTGTACGTCTTACGATTTTTGAGATAATTAAACAAAAGGAATTTTTATGGTGGGCCTCCTTAGCACTCAAGAACCATTACGCTGATTTCAATTAGCAAAAGGAACGCGCCTGAATTGTTTTGAAATTTCCTAACTTGTTAACTCTGAGTCCATAAATAAAACGTTCGCTTTACTTATTCCCTCATTACGCCTAGCTCTTCGGAAACTAACTTTTGTGTAAATAAAGGTACACCCACAGTAATAAGTAGCCACAAATACAGTGTATTTACGAACCTTCACTCCCGCTTTTAACTACAAATAAACACAGTGAGTTGTGAACACATGAATACAAATTTCAGTCCACATTCGCTTATCTCTCAGATTGCAGGAAAGTTGTAAAATCAACACACTCGGTGATCTTGCATTCCCGTCAGATATTCCAGCGTACTATTGCTGATAGGCATTGGAAAGCGTGAACAAATACACACCAATAAACAGAAATGCATTTCAAAAAAACAGAGGTGTTGTGTTAAGGAACTACCATTCTTTTAATGTCGAAGGAGACGTATCTTGTATCGATCGGTAAAAAATGCATTATGGGGGTAAAATCTAAATTTAACACACACACATAAATGTTGCACCTTCTACAAAGGCTCCAGAAAGATATTTAAAAATCACAATACAAATAAACAAAAGTCTTAAAAGTTTCTGAATAAACACACTGATAAGGAAGGAAAATTAAAATATTAAAATAAAAATTAAAAGCACACCGCCATGTTGGCTATTTATCCGCCTACTCCATGTTACAAACTCACCCACTTACAAGACTATAATATCTAATCCTTCGGAATCATAAAGAGCACCATTACAAAGCTAAGTGCGTTCAAAGCTCGTTTAATATTTAATAACTCATGGCGACAGAGAGCAACTGACCTACGCCGCCTGGCATTAATAATTCGAAGAACACTGTAAAAGACAAAACGACCAAGCCCCCTACACGTAACTTCAAGCGCTGAAGGTCCATAAATTTTATACTTCAGCATTAGAAGAAGGTAAGTGGTGAGTTTCATGATCCATCTAGCTTTATCCCAGGGAAACAGATTCCCCAGGTAAAAAAAAAACTTGCTGAAAAATTAAATCCTATTTAGAAGATAACTGTAAAATATCTGCCGAGAATCTAACCCAGGCATCCCTGGTCATTTTTTGTGTTTGTTTGTCCCACTATACGCCATGTAGGCGTTTGGGGTGAGTGGAGGTATAGCTCCTCTCTTCCTTGACCTCGGCACTAGATGGGGGTGAGTGGTCAGCATCACGCCCCGGCCGGCTTTACCCCCGGGAAAGGACCCCCCTGGTCATAGTCTTAAAATCCACTTAATTTGTGGTGTTTTACGCGTTCTGTGCAATACGCATTATGTGCTGAACTGGTATCCGTCCGTCCGTCTGTCCAGCCGACTCAACTTCAAAACCACTGGACGGATTTAGATGAAATTTGATTTCGATGTTGGGCTAGTCTGCTTGACCTCAGAATAGTACATTTTAATATCCTACGAGCGGTGATAACAAAATGACGGATGAATAAAGTCCCGAGGTAGACATTGAGGTGTTGTAACTATATACAACCAGCTCAGTAATTTTAGAACATCCAATTATTTTGGCCCAGAAAGCAGTTTATTTTGCTAGCCTCTCCTTTCGCATTGGATATGTAACACTGCACCGGAAAGCGTGTCTTCTACTAAAACGCTGTTATTTCCTTTCCGATAACACGGAAGACCTGCTGATTGTGCATTCTGACCTGTCATTGACATCAAAACAAGGCGAACGTCACACACGCCAAGTCCGAAACTTCGCATAACGTAAGCAGCTTGTGCCTCAAAGATTTGAGACATTTGTCTCTGAAGTTCACCATTACGAAGACCAACATGACTGCTCACAGTTAAAGTCATATCAACTGATAAATACAAAATAAAGAGGCACGATGTATGGTTCCCGCTGGACCTTGAACGGTTAAAGACTTAGGAACATAGTGGAGCATAATATTAAAACGAATCTGAAAGAAACAGGGAGTAAAAGTATGGATTTCATTCATCTGGGTCATGGTGGTGGGAATTTGTGAACATGGTAATGAACCTTCTGATTCTAAAGAAGGCGAGGAATTTCTTGACTTTAGCCTGTTAAGAAAAAGTGTTCTCTCTACAGATATTTAACAAAATACAAGCAATAAATAATGTTACAATAGTTAATTAATTTGTTAAAATCTAACTTATGACCAACTTAACGTCAGATGAATTTCTGCACAAGTAAATGTCATGATCGATGCGAGAAACGTTTGCAAACTCTAGGTACACAATCTTTAAGGTACTATCAGAGTATCCCTTTACTAGGCAGGTAGACTCATCCTATAGAACAATATTTACCCCCACCCTCTCTTCATCTAAATTATGAGTAAAGTATGCAACCAATACGTCCCATTGACGTCACTTGGGTGTTCGTTGACAGGCGCATTCTGTCTTTATGAATAAAATAACCGGTACTTGTAAACATTTCTATCGGACACTAACTTTCGATATTCAATATCGATCGATATACCTTACAGTTAGCATTCTAATCGAGGTTGGTATAACTGTCTCCTGGCCATCTACGTACCGCCGTGAGAACCTCAAATTCAACTGAGGTTGGTATCGCTGTAAGTTAAAAAAAAATCAATTCTACGAGAAAGCTTCGAGATATTAATGTTATAGACGACAGGAAAGAAAGGGGGGAAAATCACATAATGATGACCTTCAAAATTTGAAAGATTCACCAAGTATTATTACGTCACTCAAAGGAGGAATTTCGTCATGGAGTACAAATGTAAGATACGAGAAACGCATATAAACGTTTTGGTCGTAAAACCAAGGGGGGGGGGGGGGCATTCCTGTTTTCACCGGATCTGACCGGCTGTAATCTCCAATTTGCCTTCTCTTGGCTGCTCAACCGGTGGTCGTCCACTCGTATTTACAACGCACTTAACTTAATGTCACAGGAATGCATTAAGTGGTTTACGAGGACTGTAAATGGTAGCTACACTGTAAACAGAGATCTTGCAAGAACTGAAACGTGCCTTGCCCTCTTCGAACTCATGTTTACCTGTAAATAAATCCCTCTTTCGGATTCTAGCAGTTGTATTCTTAGTTTACTCAAAGACTGTTTCTCAGTCGGCTGTAACATGCATCATTGAATCGGAGGATGATTATTAACGATTAATACAGGCAATGGAAGAGAATATTCATAACACAGCTTTCTTGGAAGGACTGAGGAAAACCGCGGGGGAAACCAGCCCGCCTCCAGACCGAGGGTCGAACACAGGACCTCTATACTGCGGAAGAAAATGCTAACCATTCAACTAGCATAAGGATTCATCTATAGGAAAGAGGAAGACGCAGGTCTGAAGAAATACTAAAATAGAAAACAGGATCGAACTGGCTCAAGATCATGTCCAATGGCGGGAGTTCAGTTTCTCAACAGCATCGGTTTCGGGTGAGAGAATGGCTTTGAAAATTAATTAATTAATTAATTGGGAAGTGGTCGTGGCCTTCTTTAAGGTACTAACCCAGCATTTGGCAGAAAGGTTTGAAAAAACTTATTAGAACTGGTTTAGAAGAAATTCTTACTAAATTTTTCGATCTCATTATCATGTACAGATTTTATTTTAAATACTTTACATTTAATGGAACACAAAGGAATTTTTTTAATTATATAATATGATGACTGTAGCAATCGTAATTAGTTTTATGAAAAATTTGTTTCTGCAATAAACTAACATAAAGATCAAAAACATAAAGATAACACTTTAAAATCCAAGAGACCTCGATGTCTCCATCATCAGGCTGATCATCGCCTCTGAAACGTCGGTAAACTTCTACCATACTACATAGCGTGCTACAAATCCCGCCCATTGTCGCATACAATATCCTAGGAAGGCTACGCTGTGTGGCTAAAAATAAAATTGTTTAATAGGCCCAAATGAACTAAAGCAGAACGACTGTGAACAGTGATGTTCTCATACATTTTGAATTTAAATGTGGATCTGTTGGAAGCAAATAAATTCACTGGGAAAATCTGCAGTCAGTTTTATGAAGACAGGAAGTTAAGTCACATCAAATTAGCGTCAGAAACTAAAGAATAAAATTTAATGCCATTCTTTCTCTATTCATACATTCCTATATCAAATTTATTAACATCTATAACATTTCAAAATTCTACCCAGGATACTCCCAGTTCTAAGCTTCCTTTTATTTGCTAACAAACATGCAACGGCTTTTTGTAGAGCAAGTAATTCTGGGTAATTTTCTTTCATATTCGTAGCGGTATAATGGTAACGCTATGAAAGCGGATTACAAGTACAATTGATTAGGAATACAAAGAAAAGGACGAAAAAACTAATGCGAGAAAGAAACAATGAGCGCAGGAAGGACAGAATAAAGAGGAAAATGATAAACTGCAAGACAAGATGAATGAGAAGAGAATGGTGGTGGAAAGGCAGATGGGTGTTGGTAACAAAACAACTTTCATTCCAGAAAGTGTGGCTTATATAAACTGAAAGGCAAAGAAGAATGGGAAATTATGACAGCACAAAAACACAGACGATGAAGGTCACAAATACAGGTAATGTCACGCGAACGAATTAAACCTATTAACGAATATTTCCCTTATCTTCTATTGTTCAAATCACAGCCTTAAATCAAAATATTCTGTTATATAAGAAACAGTAACATAGGCAGCAACACAACGTAGATTATACGTCGATTATATTTGTTACATTTAAAACAAACGTGGTCATTACTGAAGTGACCTATAAAACAAGAAGTGAAACATAGTACAGACAGTGTGAGGCAGGAAAAGCAGAAGGTTTCTGTTGACAGCTGGTTCATACATTACCTTGGAATCCAATGCTACGAGTCCAAAGATAATTTTCCAATATTTCAGTGGCAACAGGAGGGAAAGTAAACAATCTAAACCAAACCGCCACACGTAAACAAGTAAAACACGCTTGTCTTGACAGAAGCCAACCTGTCTAAACCACCACAACCCGCATTAAACTCACTCTCTCTGTCTGCAGACAGCAATCTGTTGCGCTGCATACTGCCTCTGAGACGGAAGCAAGACACGATGCGACGGCGCAGAGATGCATCTGACATCTAGTTGCAAATATTTGTAACTTTATTCTACATATGTCGGTGGATCGATCGGTACAGCAGTAAATTATAATAGCGTAACAAAGGTGGCCGGAGAAAGTTTAATTTCGCTTTTAGATAATTTAACTGAAGGACGTGATATAAAGCGGATATACTATATTGACACATGCCTTTACGACACAGGTAAAACTTACGATTGTTTCTTAGTTATTTTAGGTCTTTTGAACAGCATACAGATTACATATAACATCTGGCTCCGGTTCAAAACCAATGGCGGGGATTTGTGAACATAATAATAAGACTTGCTGTTCTCACGATGTTGAAAGTGTCGATTGTAGTCTGCCCTGAAGATAGAGGCTATATGTTCTACCAAAACACAGTTAACTACTAACAGGAATGCATGGTATCACATCACATGATCCCTGCCATAGCACTCTTAAACATTTCCAAGAAAACATTTCAGTGAGAGCATTGAAGTTGTCTAAATATGGTCTTGAATTCAGAATAAATTAACTGTGGTGGAAAAAGCTGCTTACCTACTATCATCTTCTGAGCTGGTTTCTTCACAGAAAATTTTCTGTCCTATGATGCACATGTCAAAGCTATTTCATTTTTTAAGCCTCTGTCTTGTGACAACTGAACCCAGCAGCAGCCATCTTGGTTTACAGTGTTAGCCATAGGTTAACAGCAGTTGTCAGTCTGAATACTAAACAAATGCCACCAAAATCAGTAAATATGATATGGGCACATTAATGCAGCTATTCTGAAAATATGATGCTATAAAGGATATTTGTTGATTAGATAAATTAAATAAAACAGGACTGACTGTGAAACTTCACAATTTAACTTTTCTTCTGTGCTTATATCAGATGGTTGCTTCCAACATACAAACTCAGGTTCAATTTTAGAGAAGTTCAGATGGGACAAATTATATAAAAGTTACATCTGATACAGTTCTTCTCTAGGTAATCAAACCAGTCCCTGACAGCCATTTCACTGACGCTGAAGTACACCATCTAACGGTTTGACCTGCAGAAACATTAGCAAAATATCAGCAATTACTTAACCTCTCACTAAACACATTAGATGGAATAACAGTACAAACAATTTTTAGTAATTTACATTATCCATATCCATGAGGGATTCTTCAAATAATCTTCTTCTATGGCTCTCTGGTCCGTATTCGTTCCATTGCCTCCTCAATTCTCCTCTTCCATTCGGTCCTCTGTTAGGTCAGGTTGGGGGTTGGTCGCAAGGCTAACAACCTTGCACCGTAAAAATGAAGATGTTTCGAAACCTTGATCAAAACCTCGGACAGACAGACCTAACAGAGGACCGAATGGAAGAGGAGAATTGAGGAGGCCATGGAACGAATATGGACTGGAGAGCCATAGAAGAAGAAGAAGATGTTTTGTATGATGAATTTTTTTCAAGAAATTCAACACATTCTGATTTAGAATTTATATAATAATGGGTACTAGGTGATTCTTATGGACTAAATTGATGTGACAATTTTTGATTAACCCCCAATATCAGAATTATCTAAATGGGTTGAAAAGGTTTGGCGATGAAAGATAAACAACCTTCCACTTGCACATTAATTTTATGCAAACGATACACACAAATTTTACATCACTAATCATATGACGTAAAATATCAAAATCCAAATAACCAAAAGGGGCAGCTTCAATGAGCTTGTCTCAGAAAACGAAACTTTCCAAACAAGTCCATAATAAAAATAAAATAAAAAACTGAAAATACAGGATAACTAAAAAGACAACATATAATTTTTTTAATATTTAATTGTTTATAGTTTTTATCAATTCAAGTGTTTTTGGTACTTTGGAACCAAGTGGTAACTTATAAATAAAATGGTTACACAGTACACATTTCCACACTAAATTATTCATTGCTTTCTGGCTGGGTTGATATATTCCCAGTGACCCTATTACAATGATTTACGCTACATAAATATAACATGGTAATAAGTACAACACATATGAATAAGATTTTTACAGACGCTCACATCATTAAGACAAACAATGAAAGGTACACAACGATACTGCGTAAATCCCTGAGTATTATGCTTGCACAGTTTCGTACTGCACACTCCACTATAAATAACATATCATCTATTCAGCTTACAGTTTATAGGGCTGACTTTGGAATAAATATTGTTCTACGTCAGAATAAACTCAAATGAAAACTTTTCATATATGAAACCAGTCATTAAACTATAGAGTTTAATTGGAAATTCATTAACAGAAGTAGTTTCGTCTTCCTTCTGAACTGTTATAATTATCAGTCAGACTGCGGTTTCTCCATTACGTTTTATTATCACAAATTAATTAATTTACTATCTCGACCGCTACCAGAAACAATTCAATATTTTTATTGTCATTAGAAACCCTGGAACTTCCTCTGCACCATCCCATATCTGAATAGATGATGATAAACTCTCAACTTTTTTATATAAATCATCAGAAAACACCAGCAATTGGGAGGGCTGAATCTGAAAGTAACAAGTAAAAAATATTTCAAATATACATGAAAAGTAATTATTGTGATTCTAATCTGTCAAGCATAAAATTAGAAAGTAACCAGTGCTACTAACGATATACTGTCTCACACTTCTAACATAACCAAAGTTTCTCTTATAAATGCAAAATAATCTTAATAATTTAAAACAATAATACAGTGCGATGGAAATAACATCTAACAGTCTTTTAAAATACACAGCATTGTCCAAAACATCACACCTCTTTAACAAAAAAGTAATATTATAGTAAAAGAACTGCATATATGAGATAAATATTAGAAGCAGATTGCTGGAAAATAAATTATGAATTTTGTAATCAATCTCATCATCATCCAGAGAACACATCAAAATTCAGGCCAGCTATTGTCCTACCATTCCCAGGTCAGAATAGGTTCACATCACTCCATCACATGGAAATGTTTATCGCCTTTATGGCATCTTCTGTTATTCTTGATTATCTCAGAAGAAACATAAGCTGTGCCTCTACACGCCATGTAGGTCGTTTGGGGGGAGCGAAGGTATAGCTCCTACTCTTTCTTGACCTCGGCACTGGATGGGGGTGAGTGGTCTGCATCACGCCCCGGCCGTGCTTTACCCCCGGGAAAGGATCCCGGTACCCATTGGACAGGAGGCTGGGTGAGCCCCAGAACCGGTCTGGACGCAGAGGCTAGAGGAAAAATCCTCTGCCCCTGTCAGGGATCGAACCCCGATCGCCCAGCCTGTAGCCAGTCACTATACTGACTGAGCTATCCCGGCTACTCAGAAGAAACATACACTGGATTTTAGTTCGAAGGTACTTTGTCAGGGGCCTTCAAGACAATGTTCTCATGTACTTAATTCTCATATCTTACAAGAAAGATTATTTAAGAGCACCTAGCATGTTTATAACTATTGCTGTACGACATATCTGAAAGTGAGTTCACCAAACAAAGCATTATTCAAAAATTGGTATGATGTCCAACAATCTGTTATTCTGGTCACTCTAAAATACCAATAATTTATAATACAAAAATAATAGTAAAACTTTTATGAAACAAAAATACTGATAACAATAATACAGGCTGTCCAGATATATATATATATATATATCTTGAAAAAATTTTGAAAAGAGAACGATTAAATTATTCTGTTTTGTGGGACGATACTAAATATGGGTAAAAGACCAAGAATAATTTGAAGTAGCATAAAAAGTAATTTGAAAAACTTCACAGTATAATTATTAAATTTATAATCTGAAAGTAACCAACACTTCAGAAAAGTACATAATGATAAAGAAGTGCATCATAACCTGGAAGTAAATACAACTACATTTCATAACAAACTAACATAAAATGTAACTTCATTTTGTAAATATGCCCATAGTATTTGGGACTGTTTGACGGCTATACAATAAAGTTTTAAAATAAGTTACACCTAAAACAGCACTTTCAGGCCAAGAGCCTTCTAATATAAAAAATCTGTAGGGAGTATTGTTTCCTGAACAGTATGAAGGTGAACTCTTTTGTATTTGAAAATCGCTGTCTTCTGGGTTGTTTCCTGGTCAATAACGACCAACATTTCAGGGAAACTTACCAATGATGGAGAAAGTAAGCTCCTCTGAAAAAATCAACATGAACAACATCCCAGAAGACAATCATTTTCATATTTATCGCTGTGAGAACCTCAGGTTTCATCTATATACAATTTATTTCTATCGTTTTATACTCAGCAGTACCTTTTGGAGCGTAACTGAATTCTACATACAGCAAATACATACAGAAACTTACGCATTTCCATAACGAAAAACTCCAAACATTCATGTGTGATGAGAAATAAATAACTTGACCATAACGACTGTGAATTCTGAGTTTGTGGAAGGAATAATATGATTTTATTTGAATCTAATTTCACTTTAGTTTTTAACTCATGCCCTTTTAATGTTTTATATAATGAAGTGCTGGACAGCCGGTATCTACCGTCCTCAGTATCGCATGCAAACTGAAAAAACAGCCTCCTCACAAGAAAGTCTTAACATGATTTACAATAGCAAATATAAATCTCCAATAACTGACAACTCGTACACAAATTTAGAAACAAATTTCTTTACATGCATATCGCATCACACAAAGAGAAATATGACTAATTGTATTTGTTTATCTACTGTTTGATTGATGGTCATTCTCTGCATTGGTACAATACAACTAAATGTATGTTCTTCGCCGCCTGATATATCTCGACTTATACCAATGAGGATCGCCTTTGGTAATTGCAACCAAAAATGTAGATCAGTGGTCCTCAACGCGGCGCCCGCCAAGCCTTTTTTTGGGTGCCCGCGTTGTTACAGAAAGAGGTTATACTGAATAATGAAGGCCGTTCAACCGTGAACATTACAAAATCAAAGCGCAGATCTCGACTTACTGACGCCCATCTTGACGATTGTTTGTGAGCAGCAACATCATCCTACACTCCCAAATTTGAAAAACTGGCCGATGAAATGCAGTGCCAAACATCACACTAACTTCCCACTTGAGTAATAACAATTGTACTTGCAAAACTACATATTTTTGATTGCATGGTTTCTTGTATCATTAAACGTCGTGTTGTTTTGCGTATTATTTGGTGTCCATACCTTATTTGTCCAAAGAAAAGAAAATTTGGCTTTGTTAATTGGTTGGTGCCCGCCACGATCTCAATAACTCTCAAATGTGCCCGTAGGCACAAAAAAGTTGGGGACCACTGGTATAGAATATAGTAGTACAAACATCTTAAATCGCACATGTGAATGAATATCACATTTTTGCTATATGTAAATATTGACGTACCATTGAAGAGCGAATTATTGGTATTGAATGTTATTAGAAAATGTTAACATGGTGAATACAATAATGAATTAATGACTACTGAAAGAAAATACTGACGACTGGGTAAAACATATTAACATTTACCCACTACATTATGTACACACATAAATACCACTTCTAGTGATTTCAAAATACATCTCGAATACTAATTTGTCACATGCGTATGTCATTAATAACTGAACTGTGATAACTAATTAGTCTCTCATACTTGAACTTTGAACAATAAATCTATCTATAAAACAGTTATGGATCCAGTGTAGAGCACAAGATAAAAGTTAATTCTTCAATCTGATCTTTTATATTATTTTCAGAAATAAATGAAAATATATTAACACTTATAGTGAGAAGATCAGCTAGAAAGATAGTAAATATAAGCATTTGAAGACTCGGCAAGATAGACCATCATTATTTGGCATTACCCCAATATTATGTTGTCCGTTGAGATGTATTTCATATACATGTTCCGCATTGGCTTTACTCTCGTCATTATACTGAAAGATATTTTATTTTAATATTAATGATGACAGATGGAGTCAAGCACAGAACATTCTGAACGCTTTGTTACCATCCTAGTTAACCAGGGTGGCATATAGACCTTGTATTATGGGTTCATTTGCAAGTGCTGCCACTAATCTTAAAATAAAAAGGAATAATAAAATACAAGAAATATTGCTAGTATAACGACAAGCAGTCAGTCACCTGGAGGCGATACCAGAGCCAAATTTCGAAATACATAGTATACCAGACATATTATTGCTCGGATAATGGCCATTATCAAATATAATTGAGGTATAATAAATAAGTTGTTATCGTAAACTTTTACAAATTCTTGCCTTATGTGTCAAACCTTTTGTATTTAACATAAAAGTGCCCCATGACAGAAAAGGTAAAAACTATGCCACCAGCAATGAGAAATATAAGTGTTCAATTACTAAACAATTACATTTTTTTAAAAACTGAATTAAAATTTAACAAAAATGTAACAGCCATTTTTGCATACGTTGACTGAAATGGAACAGTGACTCCACAACCGTAAGACACCGAAATGAAACATTGTAAAAACGCGCAGTGACAGATTATGAAAGAAGAGGGCAGTACGTCCAATAAAACTGAAACAGCGTGGTTAACGTATCACGTGTATTACACAAAACGAATGGCACATGATGGCACACTGTAACACCAACATTAATACAAACACAAAAAATAAAATTAAATTAAATATCTGTTGCTAAAATGTGTGCGAGCTGAAATAATTATAAGCATTTTTTTTTAAAATTTAAGTTCCTAATTTTAATTAATTCCACATGTCATTTAACATTTTTTGTCGAGACACTGTCTCTCCCCCATTAGTCATATCGGAGTTTGTGGAAGGTTTATAGTACCATCATGTCTGTAAATCCATCCTTTACTTTGATTCTCCACCCTTTACTTCAGTAACACCTTTTACATGCAAATTGGCAGATATCTTAATATGAACAAAATACACTCTGATTTTCCATAATATCTCTTAATTATATTCCTTATTTTATTTTCATACCATCAATAATATCAAATTGTGCAAACTAGTAAGGTGGGAATAAAACTAGTGCCACTTAATGTAGTGTAGTCACAATAAATGTACATTTCAAGGTCGCGTCAAATGAACCAGTGAGAATATTTCACTGGTACATCATAAACATATGTACTAATATGTTAGTGATTCAACCCAGAAGACCAACATTAAGATATTTATTTCCCAAGTCCCACAAATCACATACGTAAAACTTCTGTATTACCTCTCGTTTACATGTCAGGAATTTCAAATTTATTTGTGGCATCAAATTTTACAGTCAGAATAAGGGGATCACTAAATAATGCAATCGTGGTTCACAGTTTAGCCTCAGCAAGGAAAGTTAAAGTTAAGTACATGCCGTAAGTTCTTTCCATAACATTTTTCTTTACGATTACTACCCTGAATCCAGAACTGAATTAAGGAAGCAACTTCGCACATTTCAAAAATCAATTAATGTTAAATCAACAAATTTCAACTATTCATATGTCTCTTTTATGAATTTTGATTATAAAAAAGTAAGATAAAAATATTGAGTCATATAAAAATCCCCTACATAAAAATTTTAATAAGATTCACTCATCATATCAGAAGATATATATTATTATAATATATATCACTACTCTAAAATAACGCATTCACACTGTTCTCACTCGCTATTACGCATGCGCAGCCGTTAGCAAACTTGAGTCAGTCGTGTGCTTCAAAATTATGACCTTCCATTGACATCCTTCCATTCAGATCATAATGAATTGTCAGCTTGCATAAACACTACCACAAGGAGAATGTCACGAGGTCTGTCGAGGGTGAGGGAAGGCACAAAACAACATTACTAAACAATATCCACCGCGCCTCAAGGAAAGGCTTATGTCATCCGAGTCCTTGCACTCTGAGCGAACAAAACACCTTGGTACATGATACCATTAATCTCCATGCTCACCACTAATGAGTT